AGGAAGTAGGACAGGATGGACTCAGGCTGCAAGCCTCCCTGTCCCCAGATAAAAAGAAAGCCCCTTCAGATGGAAATTTAATGAATTTGCTTAGAAGTCAAGGCAGCTAAGCCCCAGGCAGTAAGATTTCACTCATGGGCAAGGGGATTTTTCTATGCTGTAGTGACATTTAAAGGCTCATGGACACCCTTTAAAAATCTGATGAAAGCCATGTTGCCCCCCACCAGCATACATTCCCCTACAAATAAAGTATTAGTCACTGTTTCTGGCAGTGGCTGACCCTACCCCACCATCACCAGGCAAATCCCTGCTATGAAGAACAAAATCTGGTGACAAAATTAATCTGCAGTCAGGTCTGACTTCAAAACCCATGTTCTTTCCATTATGTTGCTGGGTAATCTTAGACAAGATATTTAACTGCTCTAAACCTCACATTCCTCATCTGTAAAGTGGGGGAAGAATGCTTATCTTAAACAGGTATTGTCAAGGTTAAATAATCACTCCACAAAATATCTAGCATATAATAATCACTCCACAAATATCAATTTCCTCCTCTTCCCCAGTTGCCAAGTGGAGAGTTCTAGGAGCTAGCAGAATTTGAAGGGAAAATGAATCAAGGTGTCATTTTTGTTCTCTTTTAATCTCGCCTTTTTTTCTGCTCTGTGAGAGGTGAGAATCGCATTGTTCAAGGAGACCAGACGTGCTAAGGACCACATGTTAGTCGTTCAGCTCACTTCATCAGGGAGACAAAAGTAACAAGAACTGTTGGGTGGGCACATTTCTACCAAATGGCCTTGACTGCCTAGCACAGGGCCAGATGCTTTGTGGGGCCCCCAAAAGTGTTTGAACAAGGAAGGAGGGAAAGAAGGAGGGGAAAAGGGAAGGAAAGGGAGGCTGAAAGTGATAAGGATTTTTCTTCTACCATAGATTCCAAGAACAGGGTTCTTGGCAGGCACAGGATGAAGAAAAGCAATGAATATCTCTAGACACCCCTTCCCATGCAGAATTCAGCAGTGTCTGCATTGAAAGTTATTCATTGACTCATTTCATCGAATAAGAAAAAATGGAAAGAAACAGACTGGGAAAACCCATCAATTTCTAGCACATGGTGCTGAAATCAACATGGAAGATTAAGAATTAAGTGGCACCACTTTTGTCTTCAGTAAGAATGGTGATCATGAAAATGTCATGAAGTTACAGGAGATCTCTGTGTTAGAAACACAGGGACATTAACTCATCCTATGTGGGACACCAGGCAAGTCACTTCACAGGCTGGAGTTGAGTTGTTCCATCTGTAGAATGTGGGAAATAGATCATATTTGTGGTTCTCAGCATTGGTGGTTTATTAGAATCACCAGCGGAGTTTCTGAAAGTCCCTGTGCCTTAGCGATAACCTTGACATTAGAATCTTTGGAGGTGGGACCCAGGCATCAGTAATTTCAAAGATCCCAGGGGATCCCAATGCACAGGTGAACTTGAGAACTGCTGGTCCAGGTGATCTCTAGACCCTCACTACCCTAAATGTGGTCTTCAGACAAGCAGCCTGGGCAGCACTTGGTATCTTTTTAGTATTCAAGACTCTCACACCTTACCTCAGACCTTCACAAACAGAATCTGCATTTTAACAAGCCCCCCAAGTAATTTGTACTGGCATTCAAGTTTGACTACACTAGCCTAGACTCTCTTGCACCCAGCTTTTTCTTCCAACGATGCTTAGCTTTTGGCGCTGGCGTTTTGATAATGTTTGAATGTCAGTGCCAGGCACATTGTAAGTGTTAAGGTTTTATATATGCCTCATGTATATCAATTCGGGAAACACAAAATTATCCCATCACACCTGTTCTGCACAGGGTACTAAGTGGAAATAGATTGAAAAAAATGTAACCCTGCACAAGGCATGAACAGTTCTATGAAATTCTGATCAAAGATTGCTTTTCCTTTGTAGAGTGATGAAGTAGAGCCCCCCTCCCCCCCCGCCCGAGCAGCTGCCAGGTTCCCCTTCAAATCACCAGCAGCAGTGTAGTCATTAAAAACACCTGTCTCCTGTGGCAATTGGTATCCGACATCTTCTCACCTGGTGACTTTTCAGTTCCAGGTTCCTTCTCTGTTGCTCATATTATCTGACACCAACTTTGTCCACAGCTCCCCGCAGGAAATAACGGCAGGCTTGGCTGAGGAGGGCTTGGCCTCCCCCCAGTGCTTCCTGTTGTAATGTTCACCACCTTGTTTGGGCCCACAGAAGAGAACCTGGCCCTGAAAAACAAAAAAGCAGAAACAGCATGAAAATGCCAAAACTAAAGCCAGAGAGCAACAGACAGGCATCATGCAAAATGCTAGCCTGCCCCTTCCAACTCAGGGCTAGGAAGGAAGGGTGACCCCCACATCTTAGGCTAATCATGTTTAATTGGGACTTTTTTGAATAATGGTTTATTTGGAGGAGAGAATGATATCTACAGCCCTTTGCCTGAAAGCCCCCACTCTGCCCTAAGCACTGAAGTCCAAAGCTGGGGGATTAGTACCCCGGTAGAGGCTTTGGGGCAATGACTGAATGAGTAGGTGTATAAAGACTCCAGCTCCCTCACCTTTTGGGTAAGATCACTTGGAATGCCCATGTTATGCTGGCTCTGAGAGACCCCCAGCAGCACGAAGCTCCAGTTGCCCACAATAACCCAATACATACCCAGTATTATCTTTCTCCGTTTCACCCCTCACTCACCTACTTGTGTTCTCTGTGTCGCCAGAGTTAACTGCTTTCACTCCCAGCCTTGCCTCAAGGTCTGCTTATAGGGAAACTCACACCCAGATAAATTTTATATTCCATTTTCTTTAAAATAGGCACAGGTATAGAGTTCACATTTTATGTTCTTTCCTCTCAATTTTAATATTTTCAGGCTCAGCACCTGTGGCTCAAGTGGCTAAGGCGCCAGCCACATACACCTAAGGTGGCAGGTTCGAATCCCCAGCCCGGACCCGCCAAACAACAATGACGGCTGCAGCCAAAACAAAACAGCCGGGCGTTGTGGCGGGCGCCTGTGGTCCCAGCTACTTGGGAGGCTGAGGCAGTAGACTCGCTTGAACCCAAGAGTTGGAGGTTGCTGTGAGCTGTGAGGCCACAGCACTCTACCCAGGGGGACAGCTTTAGGCTCTGTCTAAAAAAAATATATATTTTCAGTAAATAAAACAAGTTATAGTATGAAGAGTTCAAAGTGTTTTTGATGAGAGCCTTGAAAAGATTATCTTAACACCTCCTTATTTCATGAGACTCATTTGACACGCGGGTCTGCCCACGAGTAAGAAGACTAGGAAAGAGATTTCTGTAATGCCAGCAGAGCCCAGTGGTGAAGAGCCCTGGTTTCCAATTCTGGTTCCACACATGTTATCTGTACCTTAGGCAAGTTGTTTAACCTCTCTGACTCAGTTTCTTGACACTTCAAAAATGGGGGGACTAATGGTCTCCATCTAAAGAATTGTGGATGTTCAATTACATAATGTATGTTAGGTGTTCAGGAAAATGCCTGGCACTATTTGTTATGAACAGCTCGATGATCTAACTGGTTACTAACCAAGGATACTGAATCCACAAAGATGCCACCAGCCACAAAATAGAAGATTGCATTAGACATGGCTTGTGCCAATAAGAATGTCTACTCTACTGGGATATAAAGCAAGAATCTGCAGCAAGAATCTTCCCCACCCCTACTTCTCACATGTCATTGGTTAGAATTAAGGCACATGCCCATAAAACCATGAATCAATCTACTATCTCCTCTTTCTCCATGTTCCTCTTCATTTTATTTCCCATACTGTGTCACAGGGGTGTCAGAGAGTTATGACTGTCTAACAAATGATCACCACGGGCCTCAGCAGCTTGGCTGGTGCTTGCTGACATCAGCTGAGCTCTTTCCTGTATCTGTGAATTGGCTCCAGGAAGTAGGTTTGCTTCCAGCTAGCTGCAAGTTGACCAAGTAGCTCTGTTCCACCTGTTCTTCAACCTCCTTGGACCACCCAGCTAGCTGGTGGAAGGTCTTCTCATGACCATAATAGAGGATCCTGTGTCCTAAGATGTTAGGCTTGCAACTGACACATTGCAACTTCTGCCCTTGTACCATTGATCAAACAACTTACACAGCCCAGGCCAAAGCCAAGATCTGGGGTCATGGGTTCTGCCCACCATGAAGCCAAAGGGTGTGGATGTGGGAAGGAGAAGGACCAATCATTCCTTCTACTGTAACAAGTTGCCAAAGAACGTGTCCGTACCCAAAGGAAGTCTCTGAACTCACGTAACATTCACGTTTCTGCCCTGAGTTTCTGCAGTGGTTAGTATATTACAGTATCATCTGGGATCCCACATAGGCTGCTGCAAACGGGCCCGAGAGATCTGCCAAATGATGAGGTTGCCGTGCCCAGGACTTGGTGACCTTTCAGCTCTAGCATCCCATGATTTGCAGTTTGTAGAAGAAAACCCTGCAGAGTATGAAAACCCGAGTAAAAGTGAGATAGCCTATCTCAGGAACCTGCTTCCGGAGGTCCTGCTTTGACTTCTCAACTAAATTCTGAAATCCTCGAGCGCACATAGCATTGAAACCTGGCCCAAGCCTAGACGGATGGCAGTAGGTGGTGACTCCGACGAGCATGAAGTGAACTTGTTACACAAACTGAGTCTGGGGGGAAGTTTGTGGGTGAACCAGGAGCGCGGAGGATGCGCGGGTCGCGCTGGAGGCGGGTCCCAGCCAGATGTGCACGGCCCGCCCCGCCCTCCCTCGCTCGCCCCCGCCACTTCGCCCACAGAGGAGCCTTGGTGCGCCTCGCAGGGACGACCCCGCCCCGCCCGGGTGCCCGGCCTCTCCTCCCCGCCTGTGTGGACCCCGCCTGGGAGCCGCGGGAGGAACGAAAAGCCCCAGCGGTCGAGGAAAGAGGAGGCGGCCACCCTGCTGCGCCTCGAGTCCCCGCCCGCGCCCTCCTGACGCGACGCCTAAGAAGGAGGGAGGCCTGGAGGGAACATGCCCCTGCCCTGGGGCCTCGCGCTCCCGCTGCTGCTCCCCTGGGTGGCAGGTGGATTAGGGAACGCTGCCAGGTGAGTGTCTGGCTGGCGATCGGCCCCCGGCCCGAGCTCCCCCTGGGGGGCCCCTTCTCTGCCTCCTATTCCTCCAGGCACCCCCGCGTGTCTGGTGTTAGTGTGCACGTGTGCCTGTGACTGTGCCGGCTGAGACTGGGTTTCTCCAGGTGCCGCTCGGAGCGCCGCGGGCGGGGCTGTGCGCACGGCGCGTGCCTTTGGCATTAGCTGCACCTGGCCGTGCGCAGCCCCGCAGTCCCGGGGGTCTGCTGGCATCGGCTGCAAAGCGGGCGTGTGAGTGTCCATGTGCGTGTCAGTGGGTGAGTTCTGTGCCTGTCCTGGCTTGTGTTTTCCCTCTCTATCCCAAGATCACCTACTGGTTGTCAGTGGCTAGTTTGGCTGGGGAAGGAGGGAGGACATAGAGCAAGTTCGCAGGGTTCTTGGGCTGAGCCGCGCTGCTCCTGAAAGTTGATGCACTGGAGAGAAAGAACGCGTTGTCAGATGCCAACCCTTCTTTCTTGTTAAGGCCATGAGAATCTGAAGCCGTTTCCTTACTGCCCATGAGTTTTTCTGAGATCTGAAAGTTATTTTTCCAAGAGATCGGCAAAGCCCCTTAGTAAATGCTCACTTCCGTGGTGCTTACTGTTCGAAGCACTTTAGGACTATTAGCCCATGTAAAGTCTACACCTACTCCGTGTGGACTGTACTATAATTATCATGTCTCTGTTGTATAAGAGAAAAACAAGGCACAGAGAGGTGGAGTAAGTTGCCCAAGGAGGCACAGTCAGTAATGCATGGAGCTGAGATGAGAACCCAAGGAGTCTGGCCCAGAGTCCCTGCTCTTCACCAGGGCACTAGGGCAGCCTTTGGGGAAACACCCACTGGAAAAGGTTTCCTGGCTCTCTGGCTGTGATGTCTTCCTTTCTCCTTAGGTGTCCGCTAGAGTGGGGCCTTTCCACGGTAGCATTATTGACCTTTTGGGCTGGGCTGGACAATTTTTTGTTGGGGTGTGGGGTGGGGGGCTGTCCTGTGCACTGTAGGATGTTTAGCAGCATCCCTGGCCCACCAAATGCAAATAGCAACCCTGACCACCCCCACTCAAGTTGTGACAATGTAAAACAGTCTCAGATATTGGCCAAGGTCCCCTGGAGGGCACAATGGCCCCAGCTGAGATGGCTGTACCACAGAAATTTTCAGTGATGACTGGGAGAACAGGATAAAAGCCTTGGTCTGGTATAGGCTTCTGAAAGGTGCGCCTATCTTTTGTTTGACTTACAGGGAAATATCTTTCATCAGAGTCAGCCATGGTATTAAGGGATTTTAGAGTTCAAACAGAACAAACCTCAAACCAGGTTCTTAGAATGTATGATCGCAAGTTTCAATTTCCTTTCCGTGATAAAAATGTAAGCAGATGTAATTTGCTCATAATCACATTTTCCTTGAATGTTGGGGGTTCTTGTATAGAAAGCCCACTTAAGAAAGACCAAGTGCTATTTGGAGATGAGATTAATAGTTTCTTCAGTGGCCAGCAAACCAACCTCCAGGAGCTCCACTTTCAAAGTGCTACCAAATTAAATTAAAATCCGAAAAGCCTCCAGATAAACTAAAGAATATTAAACTGGAGAATCCCGTCAGGATTCTGCAATTCTGCAGTTTTCAAGATGTGAACCGAGGTTTCTTTACACACTATCAGGTTCATGAGCTGGTGTGTTTATTATCTGCTCAACATGCTTAGAAATAAGTGGTCAGCTCTTCAGGAATGCCTAGGGAGCACGTTTTATCAGCTCCAGACTCCATGTCACCAATGGCAACACGTTTATGAAAAAGGCAAGGCATCCTTTGCAGAAAAGTATATCTACTGGTTATTTCTGTAGTAAAAACTGTGATTGCTATATAGAGATTTCTAATACAAGAACCAGTTGTTGGGTTTTTCCCCTTTAAATTTCAGAATGTTAGGGGTACACATGTTTTGTACAGATTGAGTTAAAGTTGTAAGTGTGCCCTTCACCCAGTTAGTGTTCACTGTACCCAATGAGTATGAATTTACCTATCCTTTCTCCTCCCCTCCCCCAGCTTGATTTTCATTGAAATTTACTTCCATATGTGCACTTATGTTTTGATTGATTAGTTCCAATTTGGCATTGAGTACATGTGTTTGTTTCTCTGTTCTTGTGATGTTTCACTTAGAAGAATGGTTTCCAGTTCCATCCAGGTTGTCATAAAAGATACTAGGTCACCATTTTTTAATTTTGTGCCTGAGTAGTACTCCATGGTATGCATATACCACATTTTATTGATCCATTCATGTATTGGTGGGCACTTGGGTTGTCTCCATGTCTTTGTGACTGTGTTGTGCTGCTATAAACGTTTCAGTGCAGGTGTCCTTTTTTATAGAATGATCTTTTTTCCTTTGGGTATATACCTAGAAGTGGGATTGCTGGATCAAATGGTAGGTCTACTTTAAGTTCTTTGCGATATCTCCATACAATTTTCCATAGAGGTTGCACTAGTTTCCAGTCTCACCAACAGTGGATAAGCGTTCCTTTCTCTCTGCTTCCACTTGTTGTTGTTTTTAATTGAAATACTACCACATGATTTTATGACCTAGAAAATTACATGCCTCTTAAATGGTGCTTAGTGCATATGAGACAATTAACACTCATTAAATGAATAAACCAGGCATATGCCCACTCTTAAAATTCAGAACTTGGCTTACCTTACACTTCTATGGCCTTTCAGTATTGGGACTGTTTCAGTGCTCTAGACCTGCTCTGTCCAATAAAGCAAAGATGGTAGTCAGGAGCCCTAGATATTGGCTATTAAGTACCTGAAGTGTGCCCAGTTTAAGTTGAGATGTGCTTTAAGTGTAAAATACACAATGAATTCCACAACTAAGTATAAAAAAGATAACAGAAAATATTTCACTAGTCTTTTGATATTGATTACATGTTGGTAATATTGTATAAATACTGCATTAGATAAATTAAAATTTCACTTGGTTCTTTCACATTCTGAAAAATGTGGCTACTAGAAAATTTGAAATGCCATATATAGCTATTTATTTCTATTGGACAGTGCATTGGTCTAGAACATTTATTGATCTGAACTCCATCTTGAGTGTTCTAGATGCAAACACTTGGATCTTTTCTTCTTGGGCATGTAAGATAAATGTTATTAACTTTGATATTCTGGAGATTAATGTTTAGAACAACTCCCTACTTACAATGTCTTTCTGTTACATATTTTTTCTCTGTTGAATTTAAGTAAAAATAATGTGAAAGATGAAGGAATGACTAGGGCTAGTCCTCCTTCTGAGGGCTGTGTGCTGCAAACCACATGCAACAACGTGCCACTGTAACAATTTACCACATACCTCATGGCTTAAAACAATACAAGTTTACTGTGCTACAGTTCTGAAGATCAGAAGGCCAAAATGATTCTTATGGGGATATAAATAAGATGTTGTCAGGGCTGGTTCCTTCTGGAGGCTCTAGGGAAGAATCCATTTCTTATTTCTTTTAGCTTCTAGAGGCTGCTAGCAATCCTTGGCTTGTGGTTGCATCAGTCTAATATCTTTTTTCCTTGTTATCTTGCCTTCTCTCTGACTCATCTTTGTCTTTCTCCAAGAAGAACCTTTGTGATTATATCAGGCGCACTTGGAGAATCTGATATAATATTTTCATCTCAAGATCCTTAAATTGATCACATCTGCCAAGTTCCTTTTGCCATATAAGGTAACATTCTCAGGTTCCAGGGATTAGGACTTGTGGGTAGGGGTATCATTCACCCTTCCATAGGAAACCCAAGATGAGAGTCTGTTCTTGTTTTTGTGGGCTAGATTATATCTTTAAACTTGATTTTAGTGCTTTTTGAATGGTCAGCAAATCACTCATTTCTTTATATTATTTAAACCCAGAATTTGTGAGAATATACCCAAAATTTAAGAGCTGAATGTTTCTAGGAAATAATAATCATGAAATCTCTAGTTACAAATTAGAAATCATTTTTGAGCATCCTTATTTAAATAGTTACTTTCATTGGTTTAGAAGATGTCGAAGTCCTATTTATAGGTTATTTATGTACATAAATCAAGGTTATGTAAACATCACAATGAGAGTTAGTATATCATCTAGCCTTCATAAATGAGATTGGCATTCAGCAAATATTGTTGAGACCCTACTATATGTCAACCCTTTTCAATCAATTCAATTTATTTCAATCAATCCTTTAAACAACCCTAAGAAATGGAGAAACCTAAAGAAATTAGGGTTGCAGTGGGGTACAGTGGCACATGTCTGTAATCCTAGCCCTTTGGTGGGCTGAGACGGGAGGATTCCTTGAGCTCAGGAGTTCGAGACCAGCCTGAGCAAGAGTGAGACCTCATCTCTACTAAAAATAGAAAAATCAACTGGGCACCTATAGTCCCAGCTACAAAAGAGACTGAGTAGGAGAAACACTGGAACCCAGGATTTTAAGTTGCAGTGAGCTATGATGATGTGACTGTATTCCAGCCTGGGCAAAAAAGTGAAACTCTGTCTCAAAAAAAAAAAAATCAATACAGATGAGAGTTGAGAAAACTTATTGAGTCTGTATGAGAGAATCAGGGAAAATTAGAGATAGGATGGCATTTAAACTGTCCTTATGGACTGCATGTGAGTCTACCTGATGTAGCACAGGGAGGAGAAACAAAGTATTCCAGTGCTTAATTCCTAGTCAGTATTGCCTAGGAGTAAATGAATGCATGGATAGAAAGATACCTGCAAAAAGAATGCATAAGGAAGGCATAACCCCAAGAAACAGAGTGGACTGGCCAGTACCTTAGGTTGTGACCCCCGTGGCTGCCAAGAGGCAAAGAAGCCAGGCTGGAGGCAGGCTGTGAGGAGCCTGGGGTGTCTAGCCATGGAGATTGGACTGTGGTCTGAGAGCAGCAGAGAGCAAAGCAGCCTCTGTGTTCTGTAAAGCTGATACTGTTGACTTGGCGCCTGTGGCTCTAGTAGCTAAGGCGCCTGCCACATAAGG